CCCCAAAACCCCAAAACCCCAAAACCCCAAAACCCCAAAACCCCAAAACCCCTTCTAACCCCTCGTCAAAAATTCCCAAGACCTATTCTGTGCTAAATCCCTAGTAAAGAGTATCTGCAAACTTCTGAGATTTCTTGATCTTTGTGAGATTAAAACCTAATTATATTGGAAATTTTATCATCAGGAGATTATTAGACTTAAGTACTTGGCTTATTGTTTCCAATAAATTCTTTCCATTTGAACATGAGGACACCAACAGCCTTTTTCATAGTTTCTACAAGATCTTGAGGAGAATATTGGGATAAAGACTCCATTTTGATTTCGCTTAAATGAGACTGTATAGTAAAGTCTCTCTTTTTAGAAGATACTTCATTACGATTCTTTGCTGTCTGTACTATCTAAAACCAAGTCAATACCATGTTTACCTTCTTAAAATATCCTTTGCCGAAATCTTTCTTAGTGAAGGCTTCAGATTTTCTAGGGATACTTGGGCTATGGCTAACTTTGAAGAAGTTCATTCTAATCTGGCTACCTCTTCTTAGACTTCTCTTTACGAAGGTATGGCATCTTTGGTTTGCGATTCAAATACTGAAGTTCAGGTCTTTTAAACTCCTCAACCATAGGATGACCTGAGGTAGAAGATCCATCTGCTTTGTTATTTCTTCTCCTCGAGAAATTTATGAGTATCGATAACTTCAAGTAGCTTGCTTCCTTTTCTAAATAAGTTGTATTTCATTTTTCGAGAATATTCCTTTAAAGCTTCCTGGAAGACAATGTCTTCACCAACGAAGTAGTGGGGAAGAAGATTGACAGTTGGGTCTATCAAACTGTTGGTCTTATGATGCTCCCTTGGAGACGGAAGGGTCTGGTTCTGAGGCTTTACAACTGCCACTTGTTTTCTTCTGAATTTTTTGTCATTTTTAAGATCTCTTCGATTTTTGAGAACGTTGTAGGACATTGTTTTCAGAGAGCTCTTTTCGTTTTCCAACTTTCCTCCCATCATACGGTCATGGTAATAATTAGCTTTATCCAAATCTCCTTGAAAGAAGTAGGATGTTGCCATGTTGATATAAGCAATAGTTTCTGCCTCATTGTCTTTCTCAAACCATGCGAGTTCAAGTAATTTCTTGAACCAAATAATGGCTTCGTCATATCGTCTCATGACATGGTCTCAATACCCAATCTGCTGGTACATTATCATGAGCTCTTTATATTTGTTATGTTTATCAGCAAGTTTGACCAACTTTGTGTATACCTCTTTGGCTTCATCTATTTTCCTGAGTTCCACATGAAAATCCCCCTGCATCTTTTTGGAGTGAAACTCCAGGTCAAATCATTTCATCTCTTCTCAAAGTTTGACCAGATGTTTGATGAAGATGAAAAAGCTAGCAGGCTTAGGGTTTACCTCATGCTTTATGAGATACTCTTGCATTCTTCTAAGAGTATCAGGAATATCTCATTCTTCCAATCCTGATAGAGCACTATATTTGAAGGAAGCAGGAGAGTTCGGAGCCAACCCTCTTTTTACAAGATCTTTTATACTAGGAACTACAAAGTTCTTCTCTTTTGATTGGCTTCTGTTGTACTGATGGGAAGAGCTCTCCTGGTTTAAGATGTTGGGCATACTTTCTTTATCAATGTCTGTAGTAACATGAAGCTTTGACTGCTTCCTAATCCCTAAAATAGGTTTAAGAGAATGTTACTTCTCATCCCAACTTTGATGAATTCAGGCTGAGTTGCTAAGAAATTAATAATTTAAAACTTACAGCAATCATTATAAGAACTGATATTCGTGAATTGTCCTTCTTGGGATTGAGGAACTCTAGGTCCAGGAGTCAGTGCTGGTGTAAAGAGCTTTCCTCTCTTTGATTGTTCAGTTTCTAAACAATCATAGGGTCATTTACTCTGAAGACTCCGTTTGCGATTTTCAATGATGTAATCCCTAAAAGAGTTGCTAGTCTCTAGGAACTGCTTCTCAAACTTTTTCTTGACCTCCCTGGCTATTCTAGCTAGGTTCTGTTTGTTATTTCCGGTCTAAAGATCATTGCCAAGTCATACCCTTGATGCGTTCAACTGCAGAGTTATTCGTGTCTTTGGAGTATGGTCTCTTGATAATTTTTACTCTATAGGAATCCTTTATGATCCTATTCTTTCTGGACATACTAGCCAACATGTACTTGCTGACAGATTGACCTATATGTAAAAGAGAATCTACTTTTTCTAGCTGGCCCTGCCTTGTTTATCTGTATTTTCTCTTTGCTGTGATAAGGGAATATATCTTACAAAGTTTTACAGAATTCGTCAAGAGAGAGATCATGCGCAGGGAGATATATACTTTTCCTTGTTTTTCTAGGATCATATAAATCAACCTTACTCTGTTATTTTAACAGTCTCATCATCTGTTTCATCCAGATCAATTTCTATAGCAGAGTTCTTGCTCAATCTGCTGAGGTTCTGTATTGCATGAATTACCAAAATTTGAAAATATTACCTCATTATTTTTCTGTTTACTATTGGAGAGATAATTATCAATTAGAGCATTTTCTTAACTTGTCCCATTTTCACATTCTCGTATTGAGGGTCCTGGCTGAGTCGCCTATACAATCAGTCAAATCTGGTAATAAATCTTAAGAAAGTTATGAATATTACCTTATGACATTCTTTCAAATTAAGTTGATATTTTCTTTGAGTCCTTGCTTAATTCTCTCATATTCCTTCTCATCTGAATAAAGGCTAGAAAGTAGTACAGAATTTGTACCTGTTAGTCCTGATCTTAGTTGATGACATTTGAATCTAAATTAACCCTGTTAATTATCCAATACATGTTTGGAAAATATGGCTAATTATCTGCCAAAAAGAAATTGAGGGTTTGAACAAAAATAACGAGAAATGTATGGGGCTTCTGTTTAAGAATTTAATATGGTGCTCCATGATACCAGGATAAGTCATGCTGTCCAAACTGTAATCCCTTAGCCAACAAGCTTACATCTGAATATTAATTTTATATTTTCAATTATTTATTGAAGAATAGGGGTTTTGGGGTTTTGGGGTTTTGGGGTTTTGGGG